GTACAGGTCAAGTGTCTCCGTACAAAAATGTATCAATATGCCTGACCACAGATAACAGTAGTACTACTGTTATCTGTGGCCTGACATATACCTACATGTGACAATATACCTGTGACATATATTGACACATAGGATAGGCAAAGCGATTGCGATTGCTTGCAAGAAAAGCGAGAGGATGGGCTATAAATAGCCTCCCCCTAGTGGGGTGCGAGTTTAATAAACAAACAGCTCTGATCTTATAGGATAGATTTCAGAATAACCTAAACTTCTAAAACCTGTAAATGCTGTGGATCAGACTAGGCACTAAGAAGCAGAGTACCTAATGGGCAAAGGCATAGACAAATAGACATTCTGGTCAGGCCATGGGACAGGCACAGCATTCATCATGTAGTAACTTTCCAGTTGGATTCTTAAAAAAAATTGACAACATGCTTTATGATCTATTATTCTTGATGACTAGGAAATGCTTGATTGTATTCTTAAATCTTAATACAGAATAATATTGTTTTTGCCACATATCAGTGATGTTTCAGTACAAATTTACCAACATAGCCCATGCCATTCACTTCTGAGGAGCAGCCACATTTCAAATGTTTGATTTCTTATAAAAACTATGCCTACATATGGGAACAGAGATGCTTGCACAATGAACCCTTTTGATTGCTCAATTTAGATGCAAGTGACATATTCAGAACATTCCAATGGGGTGGCAAAATGTGTACAGCCTTTCAAGAGGCTACAGGTTCAAGACAAAGGGTCCATGGGGGCCTGTCTGTGAACCAGAAAAGGGGTCAGGTGCCCTGTTTTGGCTGATCCAATGAAAAGTGATGTGAAAAATCAGCTTAGTTGTAACTGTTGGATAATTTGGAGATCACCTGTCAATGACTAGTAAGCAGTAAGCACTCAAAAACAGCTTCTGAAAATCAATCTGCTGGCTTTTGAGAAGAAGTCAAAGTTGCATTTTGCATAAGAAATGAGACAGTTAAAATTTGGGATAGGTAAGGTGTTATTTATATCATAGATTACATGATCATCATCATCATCATCATCATCATACTGTTTATTGGCACAAATTGGCATGAAACGCTTACTTTGGACTCGGAACTGAGTCACTTATTGGTACCTACCCACCTACAGGCTAGAAAAGTTTATTTGAAATAACACTTGAAGTTAACAGGCTGACCAATGCATATAATTTGGTGCCACATTATACCTAGCATTAGGAGACATTTAAAAACAAACTACCAATCCTCTCAGCCTTGCGGAACAAAATAAAACAATACTGCAAACAGGTAGGTAAAATCACAGTGCTCTCCTAAAACCACACATGAGGCATCAGAGGTAAACTTGCAGTTAGCTGTTGAGAGTTTCGTCATACCTATGCATTGAACGGATTGATGTAAAATTGTTTGCGCTTTATAGTTTTATACCACAATTTGATTCACAGAACAAAAGATGCCTATAAAGTATGAATTGAAATTTTAAGATGTTCACAGGCACATGAAATACACATGATTAGGTATCTTTTTACCCAGTCCAAGACTGCCATTTTCCTCTAGGTCCAAAGCCAGAATTCGTTATCAGCACAGATTGAGATACCTTGCTTTCCATGTGGCGCTTTAGGTTCTATAGAGCCTTGGGTTCTTATACACAACCTCGACGCCGCAAACACCGCACTTCACCTTACTTCTGGATGGATAGATAGGGCATCTCAGAACATGGGAACTACTTGTAGGAACAAAGAAAAGACCAAATCAAAATATTTAACCACACACCGCACGTAAGCAACATGCGCCAGAACCAAGCGCCAGAACTGCGCCAGTTTGAGTTTGCAGCGTTCAGTTGGTTCCAAGGTTGGTTCTGACCTTGGTTCTGACTTGGTGCAAAATATGACGTCATTATAGGACCATATGCTCAGTTTTCTTTTAGTTTTCTTTTCAACTCTTGTTTTTCATCAATTTCTTATAGAAAAAAAAAGATATTTGAATAAAATTTACGTAATTTTATCAGCATACTGAATGAAATGCAAAGGTCCTTCATTCAATAGATGACGTAACTTATATCTGTGTCTTCGGGAGCGTCAAAAAATATGCATCGACGGACAGTGCCAGGAAGGGTCATACTCCTATTCGATCGTTAGGGAATCAGCCCTTATTGATTGATTAGCCCTTCCACCTCTGGGTCGGTCGCTTCCACCTCTGGCTGTCTCCGGGGACAGCTGAGAGCCAGTGTTTTTTAAGAGATTTTTCTCGATAATTTCTCACGATTTATCACTGCCAACGATAAAATCAGAGATATAAAGACGATGAAATGATAAAGAAATGCAATGCATACTAAAAAAAACTAGCAGATTTGAGAAACCCGGGAAATGTTTATGCATAGTCGAAAGCCTGGAAGTGTCTCTTTCTCATCAGTCCTCGACACCAATTCTGTCTCCAACCGGTGTTGGAAGGGTGGAAGGTTTTTGGACCCCTGGATCTATGATCCGAGTGGATCTAGCGACAAAATTGAGGGGTCAGATCTATGATCCCAGTAGATCTCTCGACAAAATTGAGGGGTTGGATCTATGATCTGAATGGATCTCGGATCGGGATCCATGGGATCGGATCTCAGATCCATTTTTCCGGATCCAAGCACATGTCTGGTGGTGGGTGGTGGATAGTGGGAGGTCGTATATGATGGGTGACGTGTGGTGGGTTGCTGAAGGGTGGAGGGTGATTGGAAGCTGGTGATGGGTGGCTGGAGGATGACTTTCGGGCGATGGTAGGCTGGCAATGTGCAGAGGGAGCCGGATGATGGCTGCCGAGTACTCGATAAAGAGCTGGGCGATGGGTGACTTTCCGCTGTGTGATCAGGTGGTGCTGTGTGGCAGGTAGCAACAGCAAGGCCCATCTCCGGTCGGACATTTGTCTAGGTTAGCGTGAGAGAGCAGGGCAGGAGGACGGATTACCGGCCTATTGTCTGGCCCAGGTATTAATGCGAAGGGGGAGATTTACCGAACTGTGCCGCGTGCCACGGTCACCAGGGAATGGAGGAGTCTGGCAAAGCCATTAGGGAGATTAGCATCAACTGTTCGATTGGGTTTTCTTTGGGGAGTGATACGGAGCTGCAAAAGGCGGAAGTGTAGTTGTGTTCAATTCCATTAGCGATTAGTTACGGCGAGAACCTTAGTGTCATACATAATGCTATCTCCATGAGGCTCTGCCTGTATGTATGACATGGCTAATTTATTTCGATTTCAGTTCTGAGTCCAGTTACGTGGCAATAATGAATGGAACACGTTATGGCTGAATTTCTCTTCCTGTCAGGGCGTGGCCGCTTGGTGTCAGAGGGATGAACAGGAGTGAGAGCCTAGGGGCAAACGCTTTCGCGTAGGTACATCGAAATTTCATCTCGTGTGCGCTGATGGAAAGTTGTATCATCCTGCCTGTCATGTGATTCCTGATTATCGCCGCTGATGTGCCTACCGTCATCTGTGAAAAAACATACCAGCCGCTGGTGACTTGGTGTTTAGTGATAGCCGATAAAGTTGGTAGCATCGGGGAGAGAGCGTAACTCCTTGTTGGCTAACTTGTGTGGAAGTGAATGGCTCGTGAATTGTCAGGCTATATCTGCCGCGAGCGCTCTAAAAGCATAAACATAAGTCGTGAGTACAGCTCACGTAAATTGGATTTGATTGATGCCATGCTGTGACCTCTAGTGGCTCAGCTGTTCCCACTATTCCACCGCTGTCAGACCAGTTTAGTATCGTGCGACGGTATATTGCCCTTTGGTTTCTTATTTTCCTAATCGGATTTCGTCCAGCCTGGCTCGCCGCTCGCTGAGTAGAACGCAGGCAAGGGATTATTTGGGCCGTTCGGTACGTGTGGAATGGAATGGCAGCCGACATTCCCATATTCACGTTGGGCACGCAACGGGAAACTGCCTTCCCGAGATGCTAGATGTGATTAAGAATTTCCTTGTGAGTTCCTCTGTGAAGCTCCCAGTCATATCAAGTAAATTATTCCTTAGCGGTTACATATGTACACAATTTCCTGTTAATTTGTATTCATTCGCCAAAGGCAGCATTCTTCATCAATTGTGATGTGCTGAGGAGTGCGCTCAGGCTAATGTGTTTTGGTTTAAGTGCATTATTTTCTCAATCGAAATTAAGATGACGGTTAATTGGATGGGTTAAGTGCTACAATGCTATTGCTGTTTCGCCCTTCCTGTGTCAAACATCGATAGCTAGCATCCCTCGCCAGTCCTGAAGCTCGGCGTCGGTAGCAGTTGCCCGTACCGCACTTCGTGCCACCGCTCTGTTGTCTGACCCCAGGCCGACATTAGACCCCGTGTCATTGCTGGCAGACATCACACTAAAAAGCCGCTTTCCTAGGCCGAGCAGGCGCCACCTCCATTATTTGACCGCATGCCGTGAATGTTTTAGTTTTCGTGTGATGGTCCAACACGACATAATCCATAATCGATGTCTGAATTAAGATTAGGACTGGCTGGGCTACGAGAGGCGTGCTGTGTTGGCGTCTCAGAAGCTCGTCAGCTTTAATTGGGTGTCTGTTTTCGAGCGGTGCTAGATGGGTCTAGATTTCTTTGACTCCCAAGAGGGAAGAGGCAATTATACCGGAAGACTACTTAGATGAGATGTCTTTGTAATGAATATGGACGGATTGTTCCTTAGATGCAAAACAGAAGTCTTTTGCATAATGGTTGTAATGTATTTGTTCGTTCATTCACTTGCAAGTCTTTTCTCCAGCCAACCCGACATCACCTCCCATCCCCGCATTTCCACGTAAACCAAGCGGCGCCCCTCAACGGATCCTTAACCTCTCCCACTCTCACAGAATCGGGTGAGTATACTCCCCGACTGATCCTAAATAACCCCTCCCCTCCGCACCTTTCCTAGAACCAACAGAGTATGTCCTTTTACCGACCCCTTCCCCTCTCCCTGAGCTGGAGTATATCCCTTGACTGACCTTTTCCCGCCACCTCTCTCCCTCCCACAGAACCAGGAGAGTATGTCGGAGTCGACTGCCGAGTCGATGGAGAAGTCGGCCAACCCGGCCGTCGAGCTGTTCCCTGACGACGAGTCTGAGGAGCGCACCAGTGGCATGTCGCCCACGCCGCCCTCCCAGTTCGCGCAACAGGTGAACGCTGGCTACGAGATCCCGGCGCGGCTGCGCACCCTTCACAACCTGGTCATCCAGTACGCCTCCCAGGGCAGGTGAGAATGACTGGTCATCCAGTACGCCTCCCAGGGCAGGTGAGAATGATGAGGTTCAGGGAATCAGACGAGGAGATGGGGCTGGCAACGGTGTTTGTCGAGCTGAAAACGTGCCAATGTGGTAAAGGGTAAGAAACGGAGATGATCAGTGAGATATTGTGGGATTGCAGTGCTTTGACATAGTTTGCTACGTTTGCTTTGGTGAAGCTGTTATAGATTGGCAGTATTTATGAGGTGGGTGTCTGTATAGTGTATAATGTATGTATATGTACTATTGCTGACATGTGCTGATTGTTCGTTCCTGAATCACCCCTTCGATCCCTTCAGCTACTAATGGCTGTGCCCCTGTGTGTGATCTGACCCCAACCTCTGACCCTCACGTCAGGTACGAGGTGGCCGTGCCGCTGTGTAAGCAGGCACTGGAGGACCTGGAGAAGACCAGCGGCCACGACCACCCGGACGTGGCCACCATGCTCAACATCCTGGCGCTCGTCTACAGGTCAGATGACTCGCTGATCAGATCATATTGTCCCTCCGTTCGGGGATGGATCGAGGTGGCCGTCCGGTGTTCGCTTGTGTTGAAAGTTTCCGGTGGTATACCGAATTCACGCGGCAGTTATGTCTGAAGCAGCTTGCGCCGTTGAGGCACTTGACTGTGTTTATGGGCTCCCCCAGCACCCCTCTCCCTCACCCAAAACTGAACCATTCAGGCCTACCCCTCGCCACACCGCCGCACTCTGCTCCCGTCCCCAGGGATCAGAACAAGTACAAGGAGGCGGCCAACCTGCTGAACGACGCGCTGGCCATCCGTGAGAAGACGCTGGGCGAGAACCACCCGGCGGTGCGTACCGAGACTGGGGGGCGTAGTTGGAGCGGGCCAGAAGTTTAGGGGCTACTGTGAGGCTGACTTCCATAGAGAGGACAGGGCTTCGTTCGTTTACAGTCATGATGCTGGTGGCATAGGAGTTGAGAATGCCTGAGGTGTCAAACTCCTCAACACACACCAGCTCACTGTTGGTATTCTCATTGGCGTGTTTACTTTGGTACTTTTGGTCCTCGCTAGCGGCTATTAATGTGCGATGGCTTTGTGGTACTGACGGCATAACGTTGTGTGATGTGTACTGGCGACCTTGTCTTTTTGTTCTTGTTGTGTACATTAGTGAGTTGGGCGCCGATGACCACTAGTCTGGGCGCCCAAAAACCCCAATTCATCATCATCATCATCATTAGTGAGTGGGGTTTGACCGACCATAGGTCCCGGTGGCGCCCTGCTACTTTGTCGGTCCGTCCTGCAGGCAGGCTGGCTTGATACGGGCGGCGCTTCGTTAGTCCGTCAACCATCCCGGCTCACTTGGCCGTATTTCAATTTCCTCCGATCGCCGGTCTTCGCCCAGCCATTTCCTTCTCTTTACTGTTGTAGTTTTCCATCTCCTGACTTAATATCCCCTAGTGTTACTCGCATGCCCGCGTGACTGTCCACGCTCCTACCGGCTGACCGGCTGACCTGTGTTCCTCGCTTCAACCTCCAGGTGGCAGCCACGTTGAACAACCTGGCCGTGCTGTACGGCAAGCGGGGCAAATACAAGGACGCGGAGCCGCTCTGTAAGCGGGCGCTGGAGATCCGAGAGAAGGTGCTGGGCCGCGACCACCCGGACGTGGCTAAGCAGCTCAACAACTTGGCACTTCTCTGTCAGAACCAGGTGGGTCGCCGCGGTCGGGCGGGAGGCTGGGAGGGGGAAGACACGGGACTGGGAGGGAGGACATGTGGGAAGGGGCGAGAGTGGGCTATGATGAAGTGTTGTGACTTGTGAGTCTCTTCGAGTGTTGGATGGTGACTTGTGATGTTCGCAGGGTGTCCTGTCTGATATTGTTTGTCACCCCTCCGTTCAGTTCTGTTGCATTCGAGTAGCACAGTAACGGTGCTATCTTTAGTAGCTCGTCAGGAATTACAGTGCTGTTTATTATTATTATTTTTTGCGTATATTTCGTCAATTTTAGCGATAAGTGGCCTTCACACAACCAGACCTGTGTTCGAGCACAGATTCGCGCAGGTTCAATCAGCTCTCTGTCTTTGCATTCCTGGTGTCTACAACCATAAGGCGTCGTACTCCACTAAACCTGACTTTCTGTCATTTTATGGCGAAACTTTGCCACTGTGGCGCGGGCAATAGATCACGGATTTTGCTGGCCAGCTAGAAGAATCCCGAGCTTCGTCTGTTATTGACTTTCTGCCAGCTGAAGGATGGTGGGGCGGTACTAAAATAGCTGACCCAAGGCGAGCGAAGCTGTAATTTCTATTCGACTGCGACAGAAGGATCACTGGTCCCCTGAGCTTGTGCCGAAACGTGAGCAGTGAGTCAGCCGCCTGCGAACGACGTGATGTCACGACACGAAAGTCGATCCTACACGTGACTACTGCGTGGTACCGTGGGCCTTCCGTGACCTTCCCGTGACCCGTCCGTCCCCAGGGTAAATACGAAGAGGTGGAGAGGTATTACCAGCGCGCGCTGGAGATCTACGAGACCAAACTGGGACCGGACGACTCGAATGTGGCCAAGACAAAGAATAATCTGGCGTCGGCCTACCTGAAGCAGGGCAAATACAAGGAAGCAGAAGTGCTCTACAAGGAGGTGCTCGACCGCGCGCACGTGCAGGAGTTCGGATCGATCGGAGGTGAGTGGTTAGTGCCGCCAGCGATGGCAGGAACATGACACCTGCTAGCATGTGAGGGTAGGCTGTTGGGAGTTTGGGCATTTATTCGGAGTTATATTGAGTTCGCTCCCTGATATCCAGCTGGTGTTCTGGTTTGGACAAGTTCGTCCCGGCTGCATACCAGAAGATGTAATCATTGCATGCATAAGTATAACTCTATCGCCACCAGTCCGGCAGTTTCTGGGTCCCAGCGGCCCTCGTTCGATGTGTTGTCAGGACTCCCCTGCTCCTCCTTTGCAGCCCAGTCCCCCTCCAACCCACGCCTGACCGTGCTCCTTCGACAGGCGACAGCAAGCCGATCTGGCAGGTGGCTGAGGAGCGAGAGGAGAACAAGAGCAAGAACAAGGACAACGCGCCGTATGGCGAGTACGGCGGCTGGCACAAGGCGGCCAAGGTCGACTCGCCCACCGTCACCACCACGCTAAAGGTGCGCAGAAGGAGAAAGGAGAAGGGAGAGGAAAGAAGGAACGGGGGAAGGAGGATGACGAGGGACAGGATTGGATGGATGGAGGATGATAATTGATCAAGAACTTGCAGACATTAGTGACTTGTGAAATTGCAGACATTAGTGACATCCCAAACTTACCGAATCGTTTGGGATGTCATGTAGTGGTCTTTTTGTGTTCGGGCTTATTTGGTACTCGGTTTTGCTCTCGATCTGATTATGGGGTGGAACACTGCTTAGGTAACGGTAGTATCGCATTAGGGTCAATGAGAAACTCAACCTTTTAGCGCAGTCACATGCTGATTTTATTATGTCAGGTAGCTGATGGGGTCAGGTTTAGTCTCGTTACCCTCTGTATTACTTGGTAATCAACCCGTGGCTACATTTTGCGCCGTTGTCAAAGTATGAGCTCACCAGGGAGACTCAGTGCCCGGCTCCAACATCGGACCCGGGCGGGGTGCGGGGAACTGAGAGGCCCGGGAGAGGCTGGGCCAGCATATGGCACGCCGTTCTGCGGGGGCGCGGCAGCGCATGTCACGCACCGCACGCCGGCCGGACTGCGCCTGTGCCCCCGCTCCCGTGTCTGTCCGTCGGTCTGTGGCCGATTCGGTGGTCTGTAGCCGACTCGCTGGTCTGTAGGCCGGTCTATGAGCTGTGGGTCGATCTTTGGGTTCGGTGCTGAGGTGACCGGAGCCGGTGGCGGTCTGCCGCAGAACCTGGGCGCCCTCTACCGACGTCAGGGCAAGTACGAGGCGGCCGAGACGCTGGAGGATTGCGCCATGAGGTCCCGCAAGGAGGTAGGTCACCCGCGCCGGCCGCGGCGTACACTGCTCGTCTCTGCTTGGTCTCTCTGAGGCTCCGGTCCTAGCCGCGCGTCTAGCGTCTCTCTCGTCTCTCGCTTGCCCTGTGCGGGGTTAGGGACTGGTCTCTTCTGGTTCTGTCTGTCTACCCGCCCCTCCCGCCTGCCTGCCTGCCTGCCTTCCCGACCGAACACTGTGCAGTATATGTCGTGTGTACGTCCGTCAATGCGTTTTGTGCCGTTACTTGTCCCTCCCCCGCCCGCCCTACTTTAACATAGTCTTCATTACTTTTGAAGCTTTTGAAGTAATCGCCAATTTGTCTCAGGTAGAAGGCAGCAAAAAGAAGATAATTGTATGCACAAATTCAGTTCACCTATCGTGCGGTCATCAGAGGGTCTTGCATTATTACCCTCCCGGTGTTTCGTAGCCGCGACCATTGTGTTCCGTTCGATGCTCGTAGTTTGTGTACCTACTTCATTTTTGTGAGCTGACCAACTGTAACTGTCTTTTCCTTTTTTCCCGCTTTCCCGATCCGCTTCTGTAAGCTAAGCATGCCGTCGAACCAAATATCCATCGGTCGCATCATCCTATCTTCCGACTTCGGATTGATTTTCAGTTTGCATCAGTCCCCGTTTGAGCATGCCAGATCCGGTCTTTTCTCGCCGTGTGGACCGTCCGTGCCCCGTGTAGGTGGTGGATCCCTCCGAACGTCTCTGTTTTTGTGTGAACGGCTCCCTGAACGCCGCTCCTCGCGGTCCTCTGTCGTCACAGGAGACTGACAAGCCGGCCTCGGTGAGTAGCGAGCGCCTCCGACGGCAGCGTGACTGATGTGTTTTCACTGAGCTGTGTTGTGTTCTTGCACTGTGCACAGCTGCATAAGCAGCCCCGATGGTCACATGCTAGGCGCACTTTGGATAGTGTGTCCTGGCGTTCGTACCCATGTGTTAGCTTTGGCCATAATTGCGGCTAAATGCTGGAATTGTGTGCCTTTCCTTTTGAGCTCACCTCTTTTCAGCACATGCGCCTTGTGAAGTTCATTTCGCTATAAGGGCACAGTCTCTGCGCGAATCATCACGGGCTTGGGGTGCTTTGCACAAGTGACCTCACGTGAAGGAGTGCTCACGCCAGCACAGTTGCACCTGGTACACGGCACAGCCGGTCGCCGCGCAACGCTCACTTTATTTAGCTCGAGTAACGTCGACATTGGTATGAGTCACTCACATTTCTTAATTTATTTCGCCGAGTGATGCTCGCACATAGTGGTATTTAACAGTCTCAGGCATTATTTCGAAGTTTTCGGCTACCTTTAGTTACTTTATATTCTGCATCGATTTCGTTCGTGTGCTGGCACAAATCAGTGTCGTCTGAACTGAGGCCTTTTGATGGTTCACAGCAATTCACTGCCTCTGAAACGTGTGCTAGCTCTGCCACCACTCGCGGGACCAGGTGTGACTATAGCTTCAATCACAGAAGCAAATAATATTCTTGGTAGAATACATCCCTCAAAGATTGAGAAAATGGTTCCGTTCTCTTAAACCATGTAGTGACAGGATTCCTCACTGGTGAAATTTGGCATTTTTAGCGTTGTTCAACATTTGTTTTCGTTCTATTCTTCATCTGCTGTACGTCATTGTACCGCTGTGATTCTGTGTGTATCTGAGTACCTATACCTCCGTGCCCTGTTGTGTACGTTTGTGTGTAGTGTACTGTGTACCTGTGTGTACTGTCTGTACTATTTGTGTACGTCTGTGTGTACGATGTACCCGGTCTGGCCGGCAGTACGGCCTGGACCTGGTGAAGCAGGGCCGCGTGCAGCAGCTCCTCAGCGGCGGAGAGGGCGGCCGATCGGCGCGGCGCGCCGGCTCCTCGTCCGCCGGCCGGCACGCCTCGCGGGAGAGTCTGGACGCGTCTATGCACAGCGAGCAGGGAGACGAGGTGACTGACCGCGCCCGATGGCGGCTCCGTAATCCATTAACGAGTTAATTTAATCGTTAGTGACTGACCTACATACTGACGGAATGATTCACTGGTCAACTTAGTTGCCATCATCATGTATTAACTCGGAACTTTGTTTCATTAAAATCTCATTCATCTCTAATATTCAAACACACTTTTCTCCTACAAATGAACCATCATGATGTTTAGGTGTCATACTAAAGTGTGCAAATGAATGGAAGGCTCATTCCGGTGGTTACCACTGAGGTCTTAGTTCTAGATAATTCCCATGTAAAAAAAGCGTACTAACTAGTATATAACACTGGTGCAAAATAATCAAAATTTAGCCCTTAGATTCCAGACACATCAAATCCAATTTAATAAAATTCACACCTCATTTGTTATCTATGAAAGACACACCTCACTCACTGCATTTATCACTCTAACAAAGCTTCACTCTCGTGGTTTTTGACTTGGCCGAGTTCTGACCTAACAGTCTGCCGTGCCCCCAGCATGGGTGGAACTAACCAGTTCATAATCCAACTGGGTGTGTTGCATTTGTTTGTGGAATAGCGCCGCGTTTTACGGAAATAGATTGTAAGAATTATGTAACATTGTTTAAATGTTTAACTACTCCTTATTATTGGGGGGATATAGACCATTTTGCTCAGAGTTTTGACTGGTACTGATGCTGTTGTGCGGCGCCCGGCCTCCCCGAATGCTGCGTGACACGCCGCCATGACGGGACCCAGTGTCGGTCTGTGTGTGTGTGTCCCGTGCCCGACCCACGCCCCACGGCTGTGCGTCCGAGTGCATTGTGTCGCGTTCGTGGCCCACGCTCGGCGACCGAGGCATGCGGGCGGGCCGGGGGTCCGCCGGGTGCATGGCTCCGACCCGTCCCCCGCTTCTCCCGGCGCTCTGTTCGCTCCCGCTCCGCGCACCCCGGGGCTCTGTCTGCGGACCGGCGGCTGGCCGGGGCACGGGCTGCGCTTCTCTGGCACGCTGGCTGCTCGGGTGTGTGCTCGCTCGCTCTCTCTATGTAGTAGTGTAGTCGGACATTCGCCTGCCAGCTGACGGCGGCGGCACCGCCGACCTCACGGTAAGTACGGACCGCCACCGGTGGCCGTCGAGCCGAGATCTCACCGGCAACGGTCGGAACTGACGACCACTTGATGAAACTTCAATCTTCATTGAAAACTCCAGAGCATCGTTGTCATTATCAATATTTTGCGTTAAATTTAGTTATAGTTTGATTTTTGTCACTCTGTGTTTTATCGATTGATAATTTTGCGTTGGGTTTAATTTCGCTATTGTGATGCATCTTTTCTGTTTTGTTTTGCTGCACGGGTCGGCTGCGGCCGCCCTCTGGTCCGGCCGGCGGCGGTGCGGTGTCGGCCCTCGTCTGACCTGCGCTGTCGTCCTTCCACAGCCGGGCGCGCCGGCCGCCGCCGGCGCCGACGACGGCCGACAGTCGGCCGGACTAAAAACAAAGCTGTTCCACGCGCTGGGCCTGCAGTCGTGAGGCCGCCGCCGGCCGACGGACGCGCCCCCAGCCACACACCGTGTGCGGGCGCGACGCGCGAGGGCGGCCGCGCGCCCACCGCGCCGGCCCCTCTCTGTGCTGTGATAGACGATGGACGCACCGCGGCACCGCGCGTCGGCGGACGGCGACACGGCGCCGGCGGCGCGCCGGCTCTTATTTATGTACCCGCGACTCGAGGCGCGCGCTTCCCGTAGTCTTTTATACGCTCCGCGCGAAGGAGAGCCGCTCGCGACGCCAGCGTCGCCCTGTGGTGACCGGCAGGAACTCTAGTACCGCTGTCGGCCAACAGATGGCAGCGGTGTTGACCAGTGTGTGGGGGATCGCTGTGTACTTAGTGCGCGTTTGGTTTTGTTTGTGGACCCAAATGGACGGAGGATATACGTTATTTATGTATGGCTGAGGGCACTGAGCGCCTACCGTTCATCATCAATAAACCAGCTCTATGATTATTTGTCATTTGGTTTCGGTATTGTTCTGTTCTTGCCACTGCCACCTTCTGCTTGGTTGCGCGTTGTGCGCGCCTGGTTTTGGGAGCGACGCGGACGGCTCTGCTTTTCCCCGATCTCGGTGTAGCTGTGTCCCGGTAGAAGGAGCAGAGCAGCTTCACAGGTCGCCTCTTCTGCTCTCCTCGTGTCAGTGGCGCTGTCTTCTGCTTTCGGTAGAGTGGGTGTCCGGCCGCTCGCCGCCGTCTCCGCTGCATGCTTGTGCCTGTAACCAGCCGTACCCAGCCGCGGTCGGAGCCGCCCCCGCCCCCGCCCCGACCCGCCCCGCCGCCCAGAGCATGCCCCGGTCGCCCTCCCGTCACCCAATGCCCTCTCTTTTGTGGGACAACCCCGATCACCAAATTATCCTGGCTAAATTGGTTCACCTTTCTTGTTACAGGCACCGTATTGTTACAGACGATAGTTCCATGCGGAGTTTTCAAAATTCAACTAAATGAAAGGATCCTTTGTTTTACTCTATTTAACTTTTTAACTTTTTATAACATTACTTGTCCCACAGTCATGCGGCAAAGGGCGGCATGGTCACTGTGTGCTTTCTGGTTTTCATCCGGTTCGTCTAACTGATTTCCTATTGCACGCCGATTAAGCACTCTGCCGGCTTAACTAACATAACCGGATACTCCGCCTTCAACCAAAATGGCACATCCAAACATATTCTATGGCTATCTATAATATTTCGCCTCGATCCGAACACAAAGGTCCGGGGCCCGAAGGTCGATCTTCTATCAGTTTTCATAATTGGCAATCAGAGGCCAGGCTACTTCGTTCCTCATTGCCTCTGCTCCGCCGTCCTACGTCTTTACACCGATCCCGTCCCAGTCCATGTCAGCTATTATCCGTGTTCAGCCGGGAGTGCGTGTCTAACCCGCGCTGCGGTCTGTCGGGGCGTGTCTAACCGGGGGCCTGCTAACCGTGAGACTGTCGGCGCCGCTGCATGTCGCGCGGTGCCGACCACTAACGCGGCCGGTCGCGCGTCTCGCCCCTTCTAGCCAGGCCGCATCCGACGCTCGGGCTCGCTGACCAAGCTGCGTGCCTCCATTCGACGCTCGTCGGCCAAACTGGTGGATCGCATCAAGGGCAGGGCTGACGAGACCAGGTGAGTGGGTCAGTCAGTCGGACTCGGTTAGTGGCTGGTTCAGCTCGGAGAAACTCTGGCTCAGTCCGAGTCGCCTGACCGGTGGCGGTCTCGGCCGGCTGAGGTCAGTTGGAGCGAACTAAGGCCGGGAGTGACGCGGTAAGTGGGCTGTGCGCAGTCTAGTGCCTGGCTTGGTTCACACACACCGCATGTCTCTCACCGTCTGGGCGGCTGGGGCGGGCGCTTCACGGCGTGTCTCTGTGTCGGAGCGGGGCGGGCGGGCGCCGCACGCCGACCGACGACTGAACGCTGACGCTCACCCACCCCCCGTCCTGTTTCAGCATGAAAAGGGCAAAGTCAATGTCCGTTCTTAGTAACTCAGAGGTGAGTGACAATCGGCTATCTTCAATTTTGTAGCTATAACTCGTATTTCTATTTATATGGTTCTAGTCTCTGAGTAAATAAATGCAGGCAGTTTCACTGATACTTCACTTTGCTACTTTTGAAGCCTTATTGGCACATTTTAATCTTTGCTTTATTTGATGAAGATCGATTTTTAATCGTCATCTTGGTATGAATCTCTCTCCTTTCTCTTTGTCCTTGCCTCCCCGGGCTGACCAGTCCATCCCCCGGTGTGACCGACCTCCCTGTGCCCGTCAGGCTGCGGACGGACGGCCTCCTCCGTTCGGCATTCCCCGGACAACCAGCACCGAGCATCTGCGGCACCCGCCGGCGTCCTAATCCGCCTCTCATTGGCCGTCAGAGGCCACCGCTGGCGACTGATTGGTTACCGGAAACTGCGGCCGCCGTCTGATTGGTCGACGACGATCGCAGTCAACGTCCTATTGGTCGCTGGAGGCTGCAGCCGCCGTATGATTGGTCACTGACGGCTGCAGCCGCTGTATGATTGGTCACTGACGGCTGCAGCCGCTGTATGATTGGTCACTGACGGCTGCAGCCGTTGTATGATTGGTCACTGACGGCTGCAGCCGTTGTACGATTGGTCGCTGACGGCTGCAGCCGCCGTATTATTGGCTGCCGCCGCCACGCTCGCACGCGATTGGCCGACTGGCCGGCTGACCGGTAGCCGGCTGCTGGTCTGTGATGGCCCTCCGTCTCGGGGGCCGGACTGTGGGGCGACTGCGTGTGGACTGTGGGTGGGTGTGGTCCTGCGGGGCACAGCTGTGGCGCCAACATTCCTCGTTTACATTGTTTTGTCGGGCCGGCGCGGGCCGCTTGTGTTGGGCGCTGAGCCAGCTTTAACCGGGCGTAGTGATAGGAGCGTGGCTGCTGGCGGGCCGCCCGCCGCCGCCGCCGCCCCCGCCGCCGCCCCCGCCACGGGCCGCCTCCGGCACGGAGCGGCTACTGTGACGTCATCCGACTGAGGACGGCGGTGACGTCATACGCGTCCGCGGCAGCCCCGCTCCATGTGCTTTTTATGGTGGATATTCTGAAATAAATGGTTACCAAAGATGGAGGCTGGGTGTTTGGTGGATGGGACAGGCCACGGGCTCGGGGTATCGGGTCGGCAGCGGGCGAGGAGTGACGTCGGGTGAAGAGGCACTTGCCTGTGGAGGTGGGCAATCTATAAGGCCACTTGACCAGCCTCGATCGATGGCCCTGCAAGTTCTAGATAACAGTGGGTGAGCATTTTGCAACAGTTGATATGAACCCTGTTGTCAAGGCGTATACTTTAATTTCAACCAACTTGTTCTGCGTTAGGCGCACTGAGCTGAAGCCTGAAAGCATTCATAAAACGGAACAAAAATTATGGATTGAGGGAAGAGCTTCATGCGCATGGAAGTTCAGAATGCTCTCAGAATACGCTTGTCGTTTGCCTATTCTTAGAGCAGCCGAGTCACGCCCACAATTGATCTCCGTATCTGCCTGTGTCGAGTGCCCGGCCTGAGCGGCTATCCCGATAGATTGGAGGCTCTCTGCCGACGCTGGGGTGGGGTAGGGGGCTGGGGAAGCGAACGGCCTTGGTCGGGCGACCACGTGCTGCGCGACGCCGCCCAGCCGCGGCGCCGACCGCCGGACGCCGGCGAGTCATTCGCCAGCTCGCGTCGGAGCCGCGCGCAGCTGCGTCTCCGTCCCCGGTCCGCCATGGAGTCTGTGTGTCGGCGCGCGGCGGCGCTGCTGCCCGACGAGCTGGGCCTCTGGCTGGAGACCGCCTGGGAGTACCGGGCCACCCGGCTGCTGGTCGGCCTGGCGCTGCTGAGACTCGGACTGAACCTCTACACCAGCCACAAGAGGCGACGACGCAGGTCAGACGCGCTGCCGTGGGAGTTTTTGTGCCAGTTGGATGAGGGCCAGTAGAGATGGAGACTTTTAACCCGCTCGCCCTTGATAAACCATAGTGGGTTTAGTTCACGCATTTCATTTTATTTTTCAATTGCCGTTTATGCGAAGTCGAAGTAAGATTATGAACGTCGAAATAACCAAAGATTTTGGGAATTAAATGGCATCATTAAGTTAAATGGTGTAGGACATATGCCCGGTTGAATGGTGTCCTTGTACCATAGCTTGTAAGATACGAGTTATGTAACCAAGAGTGGCTCGTTACGTAATCCTCGAATTTTGCTAGTGAATGATTGAAGCTTGTTTGTTTTGGCTGGCCAGCATGGTTTAGTAACGCCCTCTTCACGTTTATATGACCTGACCTGCCTTCCTCCGTGACCGGCAGGGCCGAGTGGGCGTCGGTGGGCCGCGACGTGGTGGTGCTGCACCAGTTCTCTCGCGCGCCCTCCTGTCCCAACATATCGCCGTTCGCCATCAAGGTGGAGACGTTCCTGCGCGCCACCAACACGCGCTACGTCGTGGACGACTCCCAGCCGTTCGGGCCGCTCGGCAAGTGTCCGTGGATCACGCTCAACGGCCACGAGTACGCCGACTCGAGCCTCATCCTGGACGTGCTGTCCAGCCAGCTGGAGGCGCGCCTGCCGGTCCAGTGTGACGAGCAGCGTCTGGCCGCCGGACGCGCCTTCCAGGTCATGCTCGAGGAGCACACCGCCTGGTGCATCTTCTTCAAACGCTACTCGCTGGACAAAATGCGCTACGTGTGGCCCGAGTTTCCGCTGTACGTGCGTCGGTACATGCCGTTCGTGCGGATCTTCATGGCCTGGGGTTTCACCAGCCGCGCCCGCGAGCAGGGCATCGGACGGTTCACTGAGCCGCAGGTTCTGCAGGCGCTGGAGCGAGACCTGCGTGCTCTGTCCGCCTTCCTCGGCGATCGGCAGTTCTTCCTGGGCGAGACGGTGTCCGACCTGGACTGCTGCGTGTTCGGCATGGTCTGCCAGCTGCTGTACGTCTCCGGGCCGGCGCTGGAGTTTATGACGCACAGCCACTGCGAGAACCTGGTACGTCACCACGACCGGATGAAGGAGCTCTACTGGCCCGACTGGGACCAGTGTCTGGAGTAGTGACGAGCGCCGACAGACTGTAGCCTCCCTGACCAGGGGAGCCGCCAGAGCTGTGGACTTTTGTTGTGTTGTGATTTATATATTCGTGTCTTTGTGTGTGATGTGATAAGAGAGACTGCATCAATGCTTTGCTCCTTTTCTGTAGTTATAATTCGTGGACTAAGCGACTGCTTTGTTTTATCGTACCTAGCAAGCTAACTGTGCGTTTATGTAATTCATTCTGACTTTATTATTCTGCATGTGACCACATCGTACCCTCTCCAATTTACTCGCAATTTATTCGTTAAATCTAGCAAGCACGCGTCTCGGTGTCGACCTACTGAGGTCCAGATTTGTCTCATCAGACAGCTTGTCGTCCGAGTGCGGTTTTACCTGCCGGCGTGTCTCGTATCGCCCCCAATTGACAAGTGTGTACCTTCCGAGTTCTGATAGCGTAATCGTGCTGCTAGGCTGAGGCCATTCAGTCAGCTGGTATAGTGATACTCTTATGCCGATTACCACAGTCGGCACTGGCAGCCCAGCCGGCTGGTTGTCGACGAGAGTATGTACTCAGGCTTGTTCAGTACAAATACAGGCACGTATTTGAACGGCGTCTGTGAACACCTTTAACCTTGGCATGTCATCGTTACCATACCACGCACGCACTTTCAACGGCCTCGAATTGGCGATAACTGAAAGAGCTAACAAAGTGCGCTTTACAGCTTAGATCGTGGTAGGAGTTTTGAGCCCAATCAGCCTTGAATCTAGGCTGCCTAGCCCTAGTGGAAGAGCTTTCAAACCTTCGTACGTCCTTTGAACACCATGTAGTGCTCGGTGCTCACTGTCCGGGCTTATCGGAACATTGAGACGTTATGAACTTCAGATCGTTACCGGACGCACAGTCCCTGCTTAGATGAATACAGCTTTCTTCCTACTCAGGAGCATATTTAAGTTAACTATTTTGCAAAATCGAGAGATCCTAAGCTGGCTCCTAACCCTATCGGAGATGCCCGCAGCCTACCATCTCTTGAAATTCGTTTGTTGACCCTCACGACATTACTTATGGACAACTGATATCTGATGTTCGACAGTCATAACAGGGCAACCGCGAAGGCGCAGCCCAACAATGAAACTGAAACGCGAGGCTCTAGCTGGAGTTAGCTGACCCTTTTCCGTGATGTCTAGGAGTGGGTCAGTGAACCACGAGCGAGGTGAGCCGGGCGAGCCCATAGAAATAAACAGGTGAGCCGACATGAAGTCCCAGCCAATGACCACCGCCGCCGCTGGCAGCGCCACCTACAGATGTCGCTACTTGGGAGCAGCATCGAAAATTTCACAATGTGCGACAAGTGCCACAGAAATGTCCAAACTCCATAGGATGTCGAGCAAGGTCCGTTGGGGCGAGGTCAAGCACGCATCAGCTCAAGCATGTGTATATTTGTACTAGCACTCGTACGAAAGCAGATCGAAATTGACGATCACCGCTCGTCGGTGTTCGGAATGGGGCGTTTAGCGCCGGGCATGTTCACAATTCAACGACAGCAGTGAAATACGATCAATCCGGTCTCTATAGCCACCTGAATTCTTGGGGAAATCATTTGCTTTGGTCCCAAATACGACAGAAGGGTATAAATGGGGCCGTTTTACATCGTGTGTCATCAATCCACTGCCTCTCAGAGCCACTCAGTTACTAGTTACTGTGCACACTACCACAGTGCACAGCCAGCCCATTGGCTATACTATCCCATCCAGTACAACTGCTATGGTCCCGCAGTACATGTACGCTACATTTCGCTTACCCGACACTACGAGACTCCAGCACACAAAGCCATCCATCGCTCACACGTTTTCATCACTGCTCCAGGCACTGGTCCCAGTCCGGCCAGTAGAGCTCACGGATTCGCTCATGATGACGCACCAAATTCCCACACTTATTCCGCGTCATAAACTCCAGATAGGGCCCGGAGACGTACAGCAGCTGGCAGACCATGCCGAACACGCAGCAGTCCAGGTCGGACACCGTCTCGCCCAGGAAGAACTGCCGATCGCCGAGGAAGGCGGACAGAGCACGCAGGTCTCGCTCCAGCGCCTGCAGAACCTGAGGTTCAGTGAATCGTCCGATGCCCTGCTCGCGGGCGCGACGCGCGTACGATCGGGGAAATGTGTACTTCATGAAGGGCATACGTTGACGAGCGATGCGAGGTAGTTCGGACCATACGTAGCGCATTTTGTCCAGCGAGTAGCGTTTGAAGAAGACGCACCAGGCGGTGTGCTCCTCCAGCATGACCTGGAAGGCGCGTCCGGCGGCCAGACGCTGCTCGTCACACTGGACCGGCAGGCGCGCCTCCAGCTGGCTGGACAGCACGTCCAGGATGAGGCTCGAGTCGGCGTACTCGTGGCCGTTGAGCGTGATCCACGGACACTTGCCGAGCGGCCCGAACGGCTGGGAGTCGTCCACGACGTAGCGCGTGTTGGTGGCGCGCAGGAACGTCTCCACCTTGATGGCGAACGGCGATATGTTGGGACAGGAGGGCGCGCGAGAGAACTGGTGCAGCACCACCACGTCCCGGCCCACCGACGCCCACTCGACCCTGTCGGTCACGACGGAAGGCAGGTCAGGTCATTGTGCTTACTGAACAAATCTGTCAGCAGTTTGCAATTACTAACGAGCGCCCAAGACTTCAGTTGGTAATTTCTAATCAAATTCAACCATTGGAATACCTTTTCAAAGAGCGATGCAGCGACAAAGTTCAAACACACTAAGCTTCCGTTTCATTCTTGGCTTTAGATTACCACTATCGCTGTCATCTGCATCAACATTGTGGCATTACACGCAAAATAAAACCCCTCCTCTGACCTGCGTCGTCGTCTCTTGTGGCTGGTGTATAGCTTCAGTCCGAGTCTCAGCAGCGCCAGGCCGACCAGCAGCCGGGTGGCCCGGTACTCCCAGGCCGTCTCCAGCCAGAGACCCAGCTCGTCGGGCAGCAGCGCCGCCGCGCGCCGACACACAGACTCCATGGCGGACCGGGGACGGCGGAGATCACTGATCGACAGCCGCGCGCCGCTCCGACCCGCACTGCCCGGCGGCGGCGGTACGACAGCAGTACGACGGCGGTACGACGCACGTGGACAGCGCCACGCCCCCGGCGGCGGCGTTACCAATTGGCTGGACCACTTCCTGCTCTGGCCAAGGCCGGCTGTGGCGCTGCGCGGACGGTCCCAGCGGCCCGGCGACACAGACCCGACCCCTGTCTGTTTATGTTAGGTGGTGGAGCGAGCCGGCCGCACCGCCCGGCCTCAGACAGCTGGCAACCCGCATTTGTCACCGCCAAGTGTTTCTACATATTCAAAGGGAGTGAACTAGGTATGAGTGACTTTTTCATCCTGCGCCACTCCCCAGCATTTAATCCCATCCAAACATTCAATTTTGGACCGTTTCCATTGGTCATTATGTCGTACACATTACGCCGTAATCAAATTTCATTCACCCCAGTCCCACATATGTTTTATCACTCCGTTCATAGCCGGTCCATTAGTGGTAAGTTATGTTGTTCTGACTCCTTCCACCACCCGCTACAAACGGCTCCCAGAGAGCCAGTACGAGCAGCGATATACCAATTAGACAGCGGCGCCGCAGTCGGTCTCGACCTGCCGCGCGATGGCCCACTCAGAAGTGTGAGTGCCGCACGTGTGGGAGAGACAGCTGTTTGTTGACAGAGGTGACGTCTGCCGGTACAAGGCATAGCTGGAACTATGCTGATCCATTTGAGAGGTAGTGAAATTCGTCAACGGCACATATGAAGCCAAGCCTTACGACGTATTTGATGCGAGGTTTGAGGCCCAGTGTTCCTCAATTCATCTGACTAACCTCTCGCTTCCTTCGTCGATCACAGAGGTATGCCTGTGATACCAAAACAGACTCGTTACCTACAGAAAACGCCCTAAATGTGCATATTAAATGGAAGATGACTTGAGATAACAGGCATATAAGCTCCACCTGTTCCATGATATATTTAACAAAATTCAAGTATCTCGTGGGCGACAATATCTTGGTCAAAGCCAGGTACCAACGACATGAGAATACGATCTACAGCAGACTATTTAACGGCATCACACCACAACTTTCCACAGATATCATTCGGCAGTTATCAGATCACGCATGAGGATATTATCAGATCACGCATGAGGATATTGACCAGACATTAAATGACTGGAATAAAGGCTCACAATGCCCCTACACGACTAACACAGCGTTATGGTAAAAATCTCGCACACCATAGTTCCATAAAAACCACAGCAACAGCACAACATCGGGACGGAAGACTCACTTGGACGAGATCGGGTGGCCGAAAAGTCGTTTCGTCAGATACCGAGTCACCGGCGCGGCCAGAGACCGGCATCGGTCGTTACTCCGCCTCCAGTTTCAGAGCTGCCCTCAGGTGGTAGATGGCCGGCTTGCACCCATTCACCGCGTACCCTCCCTCGTATTTGACGGCCTTGGCCACGCTCTCCGCCGTCTCCTCTGGGAGCGGCAGTCCGCGGGAGTGGGCGTAGCGCAGCAGGCAGGCGGCCACTCCGGACCGGCGCATCGGCCGGAACTGCAGCAGGTGCGAGTGGCGCGCGAACGCCTCGCGCGTGGCGTCGGCGCCCTGCTCGCCGGCCAGGTCGGACGTGGTGGCCGTCACCAGCGAGATGAGCCGCACGCCGGCCCGCTGCGCCGCCGCCGCCGTCGTCTCCACCAGGTACACCGCCTCGGCCACGTGTTTGCCGATGTCGTCCAGTGCCAGCAGGAGCCAGCCGTTGGTGGGCGCCGAGGCCGCCAGCTCGCCGGCCAGTGCCTGCAGCGCCTCTCGGTCCCAGCGGATCTCGGCGTCGCCCACCAGCCGGCGCGCCGACACGGACGTCAGCGAGGCCAGCGCCTGCGTCAGCAGCGTCTTGCCGGTGCCGGGCGGGCCCAGCGCCAGGAAGTCGAGCCGGCGCACGTTTTTGGCCTGGGCGTTCCGCAGGTGGCGCACCAGGGTGTTGATGGCGGCCGTCTGGGCCACTAGAGAGGCGGACGCCACTGAGCTCACCTCACTGGGGTCGAGCTCGACGGGCCGCGCGTCCGGCCAGCGCACCAGCAGCCAGGCGAGCAGCACGGAGACGGCCACTGAGAACAGCGCGCCGGTCAGCATCGGCCAGCTGAGGGCCTCGCGCCGCCGCCGCTGCCGCCGCTGCTGCTGCCGCTGCTGCCGCCGCTGCTGCTGCCGCGCCGCAGAAGACTGCTCGCCACCATCGCTGACGCTGGGCTGACCGTCCAAGTCACCCACATCCCTGGGCTTGTCATCGGAATCACCCGGCTGAACGTCTGGGCCACCTGCATCCCTGGGTTTGTCATCTGAATCACCCATTTCAAATAGTAATTCAAATTCTAATTTAATGTTTGCCGCAATCCACAACAGGTACCTAGAAAAGGACACACAATATCAACAAGTTATAGTTTTTAACAACAAAAACCCATAAATTGAACACAAGAAGATAATACCTTAAAGATTTGAATAAAACTGGCACTCTATGCTATGGAAACTGAGTATTATCATCAATAGTGATGAGTGATAACCATAAAATAATGCACATACAGGAATGTCATATGATGCAACAACAACAACCAGATAATTTTTAACTGAACTGGACAAATACACATTGCAACCAGTGTATGACGAAAACACCACAAAAGTCATATGCTTTTTATTTGTCATCAGTTAATGTACATTATTTATTATTAGTCAAGTTAACTTCATAAGATACATCTGTGATTACGAGCGAGCGAACGCAGCGAGCGAAGCGAAGTCTTTTTAACCCGCACCCTGCTGGGGGGGGGGGGGTGTTTGAACACTCCCCCCTTGTGGTTTTTCGCGAATATCTCAAAAACGGCGGCGCGGAGCGCCGCCGTTTTTGGTACACCTTATCATACATCAATTCTACACATGTTGTGAAAATTTCAGACCGAGGTCATTCAAGGTCAGGTCACCAGGTCACTTGAAGTGACCTCACCTCATAAAAAGTTTCAATGTCTGTCATAGCTACACCGAGTGACCGATCGCTTTGAAACTTTCAGCGATTGCTAAGAGCAATAGCATGTACAAAATGTATATCTCAGAATTTTGATATCGATGAACTAAGGTCAGGTCAATTTTGCGACCTCCCCATTATAAGTCAATGGGAGAAAATTGAAATGCGCTTCTTTTGGACGAAAGACATTATAAACACTCCCAAACACCGAATTACAAGTGTTTTAGACACACTGAACATGAAAATGGTGTCCGTGACCCTTGTTTATGCCCTGAGGTCATCTGAGGTCACGAATAGTATCTAACAGTTTTTCGCAAATAACTTTTGATAGAGGCATGCTAGAGCGATGAAAACGCCTTAGATGTGTTCAGCTCGACGATACGGATCGACTGATATGCAACATGTCCCTTTCCGGTCAGGTCATGACCTTGACCTGAGGTCAAATTTTCAAGTTGACCTTTCAAGGTCAAGGTATAGTTCATTCGATGCGTCTTGACGAGAGAAACACGATGCCGGTAAAAGTAAGCTCGTACAGGGCTTGGGTCAAAAGTTATTGCAGAAAAACTGTTTCCGAAAAAATCGGCTATTTTTGCAGTTTTTGCCCCCTGGAGGCAAAACCGTTGAAGTTAGGTCAAATCTGAGAGAATTACTCAGAAAGGGCGTTAATAGGGCTATCGAATGCGCTTTTCCGCGGCGCTGTAGCTCTATTGGTTCCCGAGTTATGCGTTGGCTTCTTAGAAATTTTCGACATTCGACCTGGAAATCGGCGAAATTTTGCCTTCAGTGACCTCTGGTGACCTGACCTTTGACCTGAGCAAAAAATTGACCGAAGTGATTTCGTCATTATTTTTGACGCTCTTTCGAACGCCGCCTTCCGCGTATCGCTACGTGGCCCAGGAGCCGAGTTACAAGGGGGGGTGTTCAAACACCCCCCCCCCCCCCAGCAGGGCGTGGAAATCCAGGACCCCCAGCAGGGCGCGGGTTAATATAACGGAAAAATCTCAGTATGAGCGGCCCGGCCCGGTCCGGCCTGTAACGCTTTTGAGAGGTTTATATCTCAGCAACCGCTGGACCGATTGGCCTGCGGTCTTTTTTGCTGGGTAGCCCAATCCCTTCTACCCCGTAATTGACTAGGTACTATTGATACATCTCAGTGACCGTCGTGGCACGTGCCACGTGAAAAGTCAAGTGTGTTCAAGCTGTTTTGCAAAAGCAGTGATTTGGAGAGGCTCATATCTCAGCAGCTGCTTGGGCGATTGTCTTGCGGTAGTTTTTGTAGGGTAGCTGCATCCCTTCTACCAAAGGTCAGATACTCTTGATCTATGTGAGTGACCCCGACTGCACGTGCAAAATGCAAAAAGAAGAGGTGCCAAATTTGTTCCCATTTCAAGAACTCGGTAATTACTAGGGCGATTTTGCTGAAACTTGGCATACAGGTACGCACCCATCAGGCAATGCATTCCCATGTGTTGCGGTTAGGGTGCTACTGCACTTGCGCACGTGTAGGTGGCGCTTCCAGATCTCGAGAACGGCTGGGCCGATTGCGCTCAAATTTGGTACACGGTTCGGGACCGGCTAGTAGGGTGCCGTGCAAAAGTAAGTTTGGACCCCGTTTACAAGTGCGCACGTGCAGAATGCCGCTTCCAGATCTCAGGAACGGCTGGGCCCATTGCTTTCAAATTTGGCACACTGCTAGCGACCTGTTAGAAGAGTGCTTTGCACAAGTCCGTTGGAAGTGCCTTCTCGCCCTTCCGCACGTGCAGGGCTCACTATCTCGCTCGCTCGTTCTTCGCCCAAAAGGCATTTTACTGGTTTGAATGGAACAGAATAAAATTGAAGGTTATATATGTGTATGGTCATTGGTCCCACTGGACTTTGGATCCAATGATCAAAATCAGAAAAATTGAAGGTTATATAAGTGTATGTTCTCTCTGGACTTTGAATCCAATGATCAAAATATGAGCTGCAAGCTGGCTCGTCTATAATAATACAGGGCATAAGTCACAACAGCATATCTCCAGGGCACTCAGGGAATTACTTATTGCTGCCATCTCGAACTGAACCGCAGAACTCAATCAGGCCCACAGGACAATTTCAATTTATTCACATAACAATAAAAAACAGAGGCTGCAATTGTTTTCAAATTAGCATCAGTTTTTCCAACAGCCAGTCACCCGAAAAAAGATGACAACTTGTAAAATATGTATGAGGCAGGCTACTATCTTTCACTTTATGTCAGTGGTGATTTTCCAAGAAACTGGTCAAGCTTGTAGGCAGCTCAAGTTTTCAGAAACAACAACAAGAATAACCACAGCCAACAATGTAAATTGAACTGTTAATAGTAGAGGCTTCAATTTAAGATCTTGATATGCAAGTATATGACCCTAGGAGCCAGGAGGTCTGCAGTAGGCCTAGTGGATCTGAGCCATTCATTACCTATTCCAATTCCGCCTATTCCCTTTCGAGCCTCCCAGCTTCCTACCACATAAACTGACGCTCCTGCATATATCAACAGAAACCACAGCTTTCCAAAGTTTCCATGATATCCACCTATAACCAACCTATAACAATATCATGAATGTAAATAATGTAACGGAAGTTGGCACAGATTCAGCACAGATTCAGCACAGCACAGATTCGGTAGGGGGAAAAAAGGCCCCGGTAGAGGGAAACCTTTATGACCCGTTTTCCCCTTGAAATGACGTCACAAAGAGGTAAAAATGGGTATCAATCGAAAGCTCTCGCTTACCCAGACACAGTCCTGCAGGAAAATTTCACTTTTTCCCCATAGGAAAGTTTTTACGGGAAAATCAAAATTTTGGGTCAATGGGGGGTCCCCCCCGATTTCGTTCAAAATCGGCACACAGGTGCCCCACCACCAGCCGAGAAACTTTCCCCAAAACGGTCCCCGTTGCATTGACGTTTAAGGCCCGTAAAGCCCCCTAGACTCGTAAAATATCCGTAAAATCACCTTTGTACGGACAAAAAAGTGGTGCTATGGTAAAAATGGGTATCAATCGAAAGCTCTCGTTTACCCAGACACAGTCCTGCAGGAAAATTTCACTTTTTCCCCATAGGAAAGTTTGTACGGGAAAATCAAAATTTTGGGTCAATGGGGGGTCCCCCCCGATTTCGTTCAAAATCGGCACACAGGTGCCCCACCACCAGCCGAGAAACTTTCCCCAAAACGGTCCCCGTTGCATTGACGTTTAAGGCCCGTAAAGCCCCCTAGACTCGTAAAATATCCGTAAAATCGCCTTTGTACGGACAAAAAAGTGGTGCTATGGTAAAAATGGGTATCAATCGAAAGCTCTCGTTTACCCAGACACAGTCCTGCAGGAAAATTTCACTTTTTCCCCATAGGAAAGTTTGTACGGGAAAATCAAAATTTTGGGTCAATGGGGGGTCCCCCCCGATTTCGTTCAAAATCGGCACACAGGTGCCCCACCACCAGCCGAGAAACTTTCCCCAAAACGGTCCCCGTTGCATTGACGTTTAAGGCCCGTAAAGCCCCCTAGACTCGTAAAATATCCGTAAAATCGCCTTTGTACGGACAAAAAAGTGGTGCTATGGTAAAAATGGGTATCAATCGAAAGCTCTCGTTTACCCAGACACAGTCCTGCAGGAAAATTTCACTTTTTCCCCATAGGAAAGTTTGTACGGGAAAATCAAAATTTTGGGTCAATGGGGGGTCCCCCCGATTTCGTTCAAAATCGGCACACAGGTGCCCCACCACCAGCCGAGAAACTTTCCCCAAAACGGTCCCCGTTGCATTGACGTTTAAGGCCCGTAAAGCCCCCTAGACTCGTAAAATATCCGTAAAATCGCCTTTGTACGGACAAAAAAGTGGTGCTATGGTAAAAATGGGTATCAATCGAAAGCTCTCGTTTACCCAGACACAGTCCTGCAGGAAAATTTCACTTTTTCCCCATAGGAAAGTTTGTACGGGAAAATCAAAATTTTGGGTCAATGGGGGGTCCCCCCCGATTTCGTTCAAAATCGGCACACAGGTGCCCCACCACCAGCCGAGAAACTTTCCCCAAAACGGTCCCCGTTGCATTGACGTTTAAGGCCCGTAAAGCCCCCTAGACTCGTAAAATATCCGTAAAATCGCCTTTGTACGGACAAAAAAGTGGTGCTATGGTAAAAATGGGTATCAATCGAAAGCTCTCGTTTACCCAGACACAGTCCTGCAGGAAAATTTCACTTTTTCCCCATAGGAAAGTTTGTACGGGAAAATCAAAATTTTGGGTCAATGGGGGGTCCCCCCGATTTCGTTCAAAATCGGCACACAGGTGCCCCACCACCAGCCGAGAAACTTTCCCCAAAACGGTCCCCGTTGCATTGACGTTTAAGGCCCGTAAAGCCCCCTAGACTCGTAAAATATCCGTAAAATCGCCTTTGTACGGACAAAAAAGTGGTGCTATGGTAAAAATGGGTATCAATCGAAAGCTCTCGTTTACCCAGACACAGTCCTGCAGGAAAATTTCACTTTTTCCCCATAGGAAAGTTTGTACGGGAAAATCAAAATTTTGGGTCAATGGGGGGTCCCCCCGATTTCGTTCAAAATCGGCACACAGGTGCCCCACCACCAGCCGAGAAACTTTCCCCAAAACGGTCCCCGTTGCATTGACGTTTAAGGCCCGTAAAGCCCCCTAGACTCGTAAAATATCCGTAAAATCGCCTTTGTACGGACAAAAAAGTGGTGCTATGGTAAAAATGGGTATCAATCGAAAGCTCTCGTTTACCCAGACACAGTCCTGCAGGAAAATTTCACTTTTTCCCCATAGGAAAGTTTGTACGGGAAAATCAAAATTTTGGGTCAATGGGGGGTCCCCCCGATTTCGTTCAAAATCGGCACACAGGTGCCCCACCACCAGCCGAGAAACTTTCCCCAAAACGGTCCCCGTTGCATTGACGTTTAAGGCCCGTAAAGCCCCCTAGACTCGTAAAATATCCGTAAAATCGCCTTTGTACGGACAAAAAAGTGGTGCTATGGTAAAAATGGGTATCAATCGAAAGCTCTCGTTTACCCAGACACAGTCCTGCAGGAAAATTTCACTTTTTCCCCATAGGAAAGTTTGTACGGGAAAATCAAAATTTTGGGTCAATGGGGGGTCCCCCCCGATTTCGTTCAAAATCGGCACACAGGTGCCCCACCACCAGCCGAGAAACTTTCCCCAAAACGGTCCCCGTTGCATTGACGTTTAAGGCCCGTAAAGCCCCCTAGACTCGTAAAATATCCGTAAAATCGCCTTTGTACGGACAAAAAAGTGGTGCTATGGTAAAAATGGGTATCAATCGAAAGCTCTCGTTTACCCAGACACAGTCCTGCAGGAAAATTTCACTTTTTCCCCATAGGAAAGTTTGTACGGGAAAATCAAAATTTTGGGTCAATGGGGGGTCCCCCCCGATTTCGTTCAAAATCGGCACACAGGTGCCCCACCACCAGCCGAGAAACTTTCCCCAAAACGGTCCCCGTTGCATTGACGTTTAAGGCCCGTAAAGCCCCCTAGACTCGTAAAATATCCGTAAAATCGCCTTTGTACGGACAAAAAAGTGGTGCTATGGTAAAAATGGGTATCAATCGAAAGCTCTCGTTTACCCAGACACAGTCCTGCAGGAAAATTTCACTTTTTCCCCATAGGAAAGTTTTTACGGGAAAATCAAAATTTTGGGTCAATGGGGGGTCCCCCCCCCAATTTCGTTCAAAATCGGCACACAGGTGCCCCACCACCAGCCGAGAAACTTTCCCCAAAACGGTCCCCGTTGCATTGACGTTTCAAAGGCCCGTAAAGCCCCCTAGACTCGTAAAATATCCGTAAAATATCAATGGGACCCCCCATTGACCCAAAATTTTGATTTTCCCGTAAAAACTTTCCTAGGGGGAAAAAGTGAAATTTTCCTGCATGACTGTGTCTGGGTAAACGAGAGCTTTCGATTGATATCCATTTTTACCATAGCACCACTTTTTTGTCCGTACAAAGGCGACTTTACGGATATTTTACGAGTTTAGGGGGCTTTACGGGCCTTAAACGTCAATGCAACGGGACCGTTTTGGGGAAAGTTTCTCGGCTGGTGGTGGGGCACCTGTGTGCTGATTTTGAACGAAATCGGGGGGACCCCCCATTGACCCAAAATTTTGATTTTCCCGTACAAACTTTCCTATGGGGAAAAAGTGAAATTTTCCTGCAGGACTGTGTCTGGGTGAACGAGAGCTTTCGATTGATACCCATTTTTACCATAGCACCACTTTTTTGTCCGTACAAAGGCGATTTTACGGATATTTTACGAGTCTAGGGGGCTTTACGGGCCTTAAACGTCAATGCAACGGGGACCGTTTTGGGGAAAGTTTCTCGGCTGGTGGTGGGGCACCTGTGTGCCGATTTTGAACGAAATCGGGGGGGACCCCCCATTGACCCAAAATTTTGATTTTGCCGTACAAACTTTCCTATGGGGAAAAAGTGAAATTTTCCTGCAGAATTGTGTCTGGGTAAACAAGAGCTTTCGAATGATACCCATTTTTACCATAGCACCACTTTTTTGTCCGTACAAAGGCGATTTTACGGATATTTTACGAGTCTAGGGGGCTTTACGGGCCTTAAACGTCAATGCAACGGGGACCGTTTTGGGGAAAGTTTCTCGGCTGGTGGTGGGGCACCTGTGTGCCGATTTTGAACGAAATCGGGGGGGATCCCCCATTGACCCAAAATTTTGATTTTCCCGTAAAAACTTTCCTATGGGGAAAAAGTGAAATTTTCCTGCAGGACTGTGTCTGGGTAAACGAGAGCTTTCGATTGATTCCCATTTTTACCATAGCACCACTTTTTGTCCGTACAAAGGCGATTTTACGGATATTTTACGAGTCTAGGGGGCTTTACGGGCCTTAAACGTCAATGCAACGGGGACCGTTTTGGGAAAAGTTTCTCGGCTGGTGGTGGGGCACCTGTGTGCCGATTTTGAACGAAATCGGGGGGGACCCCCCATTGACCCAAAATTTTGATTTTCCCGTACAAACTTTCCTATGGGGTAAAAGTGAAATTTTCCTGCAGGACTGTGTCTGGGTAAACGAGAGCTTTCGATTGATACCCATTTTTACCATAGCACCACTTTTTTGTCCGTACAAAGGCGATTTTACGGATATTTTACGAGTCTAGGGGCTTTACGGGCCTTAAACGTCAATGCAACGGGGACCGTTTTGGGGAAAGTTTCTCGGCTGGTGGTGGGGCACCTGTGTGCCGATTTTTAACGAAATCGGGGGGGACCCCCCATTGACCCAAAATTTTGATTTTCCCGTACAAACTTTCCTATGGGGCAAAAGTGAAATTTTCCTGCAGGACTGTGTCTGGGTAAACGAGAGCTTTCGATTGATACCCATTTTTACCATAGCACCACTTTTTTGTCCGTACAAAGGTGATTTTACGGATATTTTACGAGTCTAGGGGGCTTTACGGGCCTTAAACGTCAATGCAACGGGGACCGTTTTGGGGAAAGTTTCTCGGCTGGTGGTGGGGCACCTGTGTGCCGATTTTGAACGAAATCGGGGGGGACCCCCCATTGACCCAAAATTTTGATTTTCCCGTACAAACTT